TATGCACAAGGCATTTTTCTTTTGTTTCCCTTTCTTGTTGATGCTATAAGATATATGCTTTTCCATATTTATATTAGGTGGAAACTTAAAATAGAAAAATGTTGCAGAAAGTAATGCCATCGTTATAAATTAAACCCACTTCTGAACTATGCTCTGCAGGTGAAGATTGGGCTTCGAGTTCTCACTCGCCCTAAGGCAAATCAGTTAACTGAAATTTATCGAACCCTTGGTGAGAACTATAATGAGAGGGTCCTGCCTTCAATCATTCAAGAAACTTTAAAAGCTGTGGTTGCTCAGTACAATGCCAGCCAACTCATTACTCAGAGAGAGGTAGGTATCCTGCATATTCTTATTTGCAGTTTTATATATGTCCTAATAATAGCATAAATGGTTTGGATATGTTACGTGAAGTTGAACTGTTGTCTTTTAGAATGTTAGTAAGGAAATTCGGAATATATTGACTGAAAGGGCAGCTTACTTCAATATTGAACTGGATGATGTGTCCATTACGAGCCTGACTTTTGGGAAGGAATTCACCGCTGCAATTGAGGCCAAACAGGTGGCTGCACAAGAAGCTGAGAGAGCTAAATTTATTGTGGAAAAAGCTGAACAGGATAAGAAAAGCGCTGTTATCCGAGCACAGGTAAAAAGGATCGATCCTTTCTCATAAAACATAGAAGATAACAAATTATAATCTGAAACAGATTTTGATTTCAGTTTCTGCTTTGGTCATAAGATTGTGAAATTTCATTTGGCCTTGTATAGGTTGATCATTTTACCCTTGTAAAGTATTTTTCTTGACTGGTTTCCAGGGTGAAGCAAAGAGTGCCCAACTCATTGGTCAAGCTATTGCAAACAATCCAGCATTCATCACATTGAGGAAAATTGAAGCTTCTAGAGAAATTGCACAAACCATTTCAAAGTCAGCCAACAAAGTCTTCTTGAATTCCAAGGATCTATTGCTGAACCTTCAGGAGATGAATCTAGAAACCCACCAAAAGTAATTGCCATGTTAAGTTGAAAACTTAGTTGCTACCCCTCGTTAGTTTTGATGCTCGGTTTGTTCGATCGTGACAACTTCTAATAACATGAGTTTATTTTGTCTAAAGGATTAGCGTTCAAACATATGTTCAATTTAGGACTGTTCAGTTGAGGTTCAAAAGGGCTGTTGGATTTATGTTTTCCTAATTTCCTCCATTATGGATCATCTATATTTTCTTCCGTGGTTGATATCTTTTCTATCTCATTACTCACTGAAGTGGTCGGAACAAACTGGGTTTTTTTTTTGTTCAAACTAAAAACCATTTTTTATTCTCTAGAGTATGTATATCTGGGTTTAAGTACACTTGATAGTGTGTTATTCATAACATGGAAAATATTAATAATTTATGTAATGTATAAAATTTTATATAAAAATTGTGGTATAATTTGTGTTAATATAAAAATAAGAAAAATTTTTTTATTTTATTAAATTTATATATAATTTTTATTAAAATTTTAAATTATATATTTTTATCATTTTCTTATTATTATTATATCACATGTTAAACTAGCTTTTTTAATCCGTATAATGCACGGGATTTTGTATTAAATTTTTCATAATTTTAAATTTATTTTTTAATTATTGTTCTAATATATAATCATATATTTATAAATGTTAAATTAGAATTAAATGACAATTTATACATAATATATTATAAATGATATGGTAAATCTAAAAGTAAGTCTAAACTTTTGTAAATTTTCAAGAATTATAAAAATCATTTTTTTTTTTCATAAAAAATATTTTCTTCAATTCATTTGTTAAAAAATAAAAATTTTGCTACTTTTTTTTCTTGTTTGATAAAAAATTAAGAATCAATATTTAAATAGTTAAGATTAATAGTTGTTTTTATAATAATGTTTATATATATATATATATGATAATTGTTTTTATTAAAAATTTTGCTACCCTTTTTTTCTTGTTTGATTTATATATATATTTAATTGAATAACAAATTACAACTATTAATTTAGTCATAACCATTAGCTTTTTATTAGTTTTTATTTTTGACATACTTCAAGTAATTATTACACAAAATATTGGGCTAAAAATTATTTCTATATATGTCAACAAAATAAAGTTATTTTTTAGATAAAAAAGAAAACAATGATTCTTTTTGTTATAATTAAAAACTTTTTTTTGAAATATTTTTTATTTTTAATCATTTTTAATATAATTGTAGTATTTTTTGTGGGTTAGATACGGTGTGATCATCATTTTTCTCATACCATCAATTGTAGACAAAGAAATTCAATAATAAAAAATATAGAAAAAAGAAATAGATAATATAAATTTACATATTAATTTGTCAAGATTAAAGATATATAATAATAAAAGCAAATATGATAATAAATTAACTGAGAATAAAAACATTAAAGAAATGAATAAAACAAAAAATATAATACGAAAAGTTAATTATAATCAATTTAAACAAAATTAAAAAAAGTTATGGACTAAAGAGAAACAAATAAATTAATCAAATATATAATATAAAAATATTTGAATTAGAAAATAAATAAAACATTATATTTATTTTCAAAACAAAAAAAATATTTTTATTTAATTTTTTATCAATATTTAAATGCATCGTTTTTCATATAAAATGTAAGCCTCTTATACTTTAAAATACATGCTTTCTAGTCAATATTTCATTAATTATCTAAAATATTAAATTTAAATAATCTATTAAATAATTTTTCATTCTTTGATAGATTTTTATTTGAATTAATTAATTATCTAAAAATATTAAATTTTAAATAATTTATTAAATAGAATTATTTGATAGAAAATAAAATTTTATTAAAGTATATATATATATTAGGAATTATCATTAAATTAAAAAAAAAAATAAATTATGATTTAATATATTTGAATTTAAATTTTATGTAAAATTTCAATCGTAGATAGATTTTATTTTTAATTTAAATAATTATCCAAAACATTCAATATAAATAATTTATAAAAAAAGTTACATGATAAATAAAATAATATAAGTATTATTTTATGTGTCATCAAAAAAAATTATCTAACTAAACATCCATATATAAGTAATTTTTATCATATAATATTGTATATTATAATATAATATATATATTAGATTATCGAAACTTTTAAAACTAAATGAATACTTGAACGACCCGTAACTAATAGAACCTGTTGTAGTCTAAAACGTAGGAGTATATAGAAATTGCAGTTTAATTTATAATTCCAATTCCAATTTCATTTCTAGAAGCGAAAGATATTCCATTTTTTGACAACATTTCCTCGAAAGATCAAATGCCACTGTTCAAAACTCAGTCAGATCTCTTTCTCAAAGCCTTGTGTTAAACGCCTTCTTTTCTCTCTTTCTTTTTCACTTCACTTTGTCCTTGAAAGAAAAAGAAAGGAAGAAGGTTGAATGATTAGAGTTCATGGGGTCATAGTGTTCCCGCAGTTATGATTGTTTGATTTTTCAGAATCTGTCTGCAGCTATACAAAAAATCAGTCAACTAATCCATATGTTGGTGCAATCTAGATTTGGTTTTAATTGGTTAAAGGTTCTGACATCAGTCCTGTAGAAGTTTTTCAAATTCTTACGTTTTTTAGTTCTACTGATCGTCTGGAAAAAGAAAAAAAAAATTTTGAATTAATCGTATGATTGTTATTTATCTTTTTTTTTTGGCGTTTTAGCTCTTCTATGTTAGACAAATATATGTCAGCATGGATTTTCATTTCCGCACTTTTCCGTTTCAGTTAAAGGTTAAATTTGGTAATTTTTATTGTTAGAATTTATTTGAATAGATGATGAGATTAATTTTAATAAAATTAAAAAAATAATAAGAATAAAATTAATTATTATAATGATGAAATTAAATATTATTATTATGAGATTAAAGGTAATAATAAAATCTATTTTGATGCAAATGTAATAATAAATGTAATAAAAAAAAGATTATTAAGTATATTAAATTAAAATTATAGTATAATTGAATTATATTATGTATTTAATATTTGTAAAATTAACAAATTATTAAAAATTATTAAAATTATTTATATTTATCTATATATATATGTATAAAAAATCAAAGTAAAGAAAAACAAAATAAAAAATAAAAGGTAAATTCTAGATGTCATAAGGATATTATAGTCATGTAAGTATAAGTTTAAGGGCAAAATAAAAAGTAAAAAGTAAACAATGAGGGCAATATTGTCCATGAGCATCACGTTGAGTCACTTGACATGTTGTGCTCCAGTACCGACTGAGGGAAATGGGGCGATTAAAATTCTCCATTGTGTCGGTGGTAGGGATGTTCATGGTAGGATAAAGTATTTCTTATTTTTATTTTTGAAATTTTATATTATATTTATTTTTTATCCATATTTAATCAATATTTTAAATTTATCTTCATTTTCATCTTTATAGATATTCAATGAGTATAGATAATCCTTATACTTATAATATTTTTTTAAAAAATAAAAATCAAATTTTATTTTTTTAATTTTTATCTTGTATATTTAGATAATTTTTTTTATAAATATATTAATGTATATTTTAAAAAATATATATTAATTTTAATATATCTAAAATAATAATTTATATTATTTAATAAAAAATATATTGACTAAATATATATAATATATAATAACATGAGTACAAGATGAATATTTTATTATTTATTCTTATTCTCGTATCTAATAAAAATTTAAAATTATATTCATTTTTATCCTCATGATATAATACTTATTTTCATTCTCGTTTAAATAAAAAATTAAAAATTTTTATTAATATAAATAAAATTAACATCTCTAACTGATGACAAGTTTTCGGATGCGTTTAACCCAAAAAGTAATCAAATCTCATTGCACAATCCCTGCGTATATATCCAAATGAAGCCTAAAACCAAAGAGATTTACAATATATAGACTTTGAGGAATGTGGATTGAAATTGCTATTGAAAATGCTTAAATGAAAAAAAAAAAAAAATACAATCATTAGATAAAATGGGCTTGGCTAAAATGAGAATAATGAGACAAGATTCAGATAGAGATCTCAAAGTTTCAAACCCCCGGCGCTCTGATTTGTACGGAAAAAAAGAATAGGTTACTACTTCAAATCATAGTTACAATTAGGCAGTAACAGTCAACGTGTTGATTGATGGTGATTGAAAATCCTTTGGCGCTCTCATTTGTAACAAAAAGAAAAAGAGGTTATTTCAAATCTTAATTACAAGCGTCGGTTCATAGAGATTAAAAACCAACGGTACTGTTCCCTTGCTTTTCTTTGCTTCATTTCTTTGTAATACATAACCAATTTACAGAGCAGCCGAAAGCAGCCTATCCATATAAAAGTAAAGGATGCATGCATCTGAACCAGGGAGGAAGAAAAGCAGAGATCCTAAGAATCAGATGATCTGGAGGTTGTAAAGGATGAAAGAAGTCCTGCGGCTTGAACAGGTAAAATGTCACCAAATGTTGACATGGCAGCTGCGGATCTATCCTTGAATATGCCCACTTGCCCATCCGTTAATATGGATCCCAGTTTTAAAGTGCTCTCCCCGAATCTGCTGCCAACCTGGGCAAACACAAGGGAAATACATCACTATCAACATGAATATGCCTCTATTATGACAGCCCAAATATCAATATCACACTTCACTTCAGGAAAACGCTTCATTTGTCTTCTTTTGTACATTGTTGAGCACAGCAACAACACAAGGATTGTAAAAGTCCACAAGAGTAGGAATATGAAAAAATAGAATTAGTTTTTCTTAAAAAAATAGGCCCAGTTGTCTAACAAAGTGGGTTGTTCAAATTTACTCCTTGTTGGCAATGTACAACAATCTACCTTTGTTAAAGGAAATAAAAACGCTAGCTGGTTTCTTCCTGTGTGGCATTGCCTATTTCTGAGATGGATATGTTAAAGGTTAGTCAGCATTAATTGGATTTGTCACCATAACTTAATGGAACCACTAAAACAATTTTAACACTCAAAGTTTTACACATTATTCCTCAATGCATACTGTCACATTACTACAACGTAAACTTGTCTATATGTATGCGTATCTATTAGCTAGCTAGGTTTTACCACAACTTTTTTTTTCCTTGGCACTTGAACAACCTGAGGCTTTATTCCATTATCATAGGCAACTACAACATCAATTTTGAGCAACAAATTACAAGAAATACCTTCATATTTAAAGGGTATCTTTGTTGAAACTTAAAGGTAGTTTTGTGAAACTAATTTCATAACCCCCTATGACAACAAAATGAAATCTCAGGGTGCTAAGTGCAAAATAAAGAAGAGAAAAAACTTATGAGGTATTATTTGCAAAGAGGTGAAACCACAACGGGTATAAATGTAATTGAATCTCTGTAGACTAGGCTCAAATAAAACCGATCTATTCCAACCAATGTACTCGACTCTAGAGCCAATGGCAAGGCATATGGGCATCAGCAAGCATGCTTTTGAAGTATAGACTACTTCCACATATAAAAAGTTTTGACTCATGCAACAGCAGGAATTAGAGAATCCTTTTTAAATGAGGTAAAAAATGATGAATAGCTTCACCTGCATGAAAGATTTTAAGATTGGCGTTGCAACACCAAAACTTGGGTGGTCATCCAAATCACCTTTGCGGGAAAGCTCTCCATTTGTATAAGCCTTCCAGGAACTTCTTGGACTAATATCATTGGAGGCAGCTGTAATAGGCTTCCCAGTAGTTCCTCTAGAAGACAATGCTGGAGCACTACATGACCGACCATAAATTATAAGAAAACCATGTACATGAATAATAACATCAGATAGTATATACATTGAGTTAAAGTAAAAAATAAGCTTGTGTACCAAAAAAAGAGTAAAACATTTACCTGATTGGAAGATATTTGAAACGAGGAACGACAGAACATCTCATAATATTTGACTCTGAATTAGTAGGCAGTTTCTGTGTAGCATCCGTATACATCCGATTAAGTTGAACAAAGAACCCAAAGAGCACAGCATGCCGTAGGTACGACTGCCTCTCATTCTCCCATAAGTATGGCTCATACCTTAAAATTATTTAGAAAATAACATTAATTAGAAGAGATACATATGCTGTCGTGCCTTAACCCCACGACATAATGAGAACATATAAACATTTACTCGTTGAAATAATGGCTCTAAAAATGAACTGAGAAGCTAAAATGGACCCAAAAGGAAGCACAGAGAGAGCAGATGGCACATTGGCAATTTCATCTGATTTTTGCACAGTTTGATTAAGAACACCCATGGTGCATTTTGATAAAAAACTGTACACATTTTAAACATACCAATCTTGTAACAATCTGGTCTACATAAACAAATGAAATAATATACCAGATGAAACTGTGCACAAACTTTTGCAATGTTTTGAGTAAAACAATCAGAAAACTTCTATTGAGAGGAAATGCCCATTTTAATAAATTACAGCACCCGACTCTTGTAATGTGCTTAGAGTTTGAAGCTGTATACAAGCAGCAGACAATCAGGCCACTTTACTACTTTTCCTATGTTTCCTTCTTATCATCTTCATGAATCTCTCAGATCTTTATTCCTTTCTCTCAATCTCTAGCAGGTTTCTATTGTCAATTTGTAGGCAACAGTGTCATCCCCTTTCCTTCCTCCTTTTATTTTTCATTCCCCTTGGCTACTCACGTGTCCTAGCCGTGTCTGAAATAAGTTCTTTTAACTAGAAAATCTACTGGCATATCCAACCACATCGATGTGTGTCCTGCCTTGCTGGGAGGCACGTCCATATCCAACACAAGACAAGAATGTGAAGGAGGGTCGAGGGCATAAGGCATGTCCATACTTATTGATTCTCCCCCATCCATACACATTAATATTCACACTTAAGCTAGCTGAAACTATTTAAGCGTAAAAAAATATGAGAACTTAAAAGTTGCTCACTTTTATTCAAACAATAGAGATTTCCCATCATATAAATTATCATGACAATGTAGGACGGGCAAAGCCAGAAATTTGGTCATGGGGATTTCAGGATTGAAGTAGCATACATATTTGAAGGGATTTTTAAAATTAGTAATGAAGCCACTAAACTCAAATACAATAATAACGTAATTGCAAAATGAAATATTATTATTTTTGAGCAAAGATTTTTTAAATAATATAATTTATAATATAGGAAAATTATCTAGTACACTGCAGTGGAGTTTTTAAACTCCACCAGCAAGATTAGAGGGTTGCCACATACCCCATTAGGGTATATATTAAAAAATCAATAAATTAATATACAAATAAAAAGACATGTAACAATATTTTAATTCCGTTTGTGAAGTTTAAAAACTCCGCCAACTAGTTTATGAAATAATAATCCTTATAAATACATTAATGATACAATAAAAATAAGAAGTCTCAACATAAAAGGAATAAAACTTGAGTGTAACTAATAACTATAAAATATATAGGCATTAGATAACTTTTCAATTATTAAAAAAGTTTATAGGAAATAAAAAGAAAAGGAAAAATTGCACACAAAATTAATGTGCAGAAGTTATATTAAATATTGGAAAGGCAACAATATATTTATTTGCTTAATTGAAAAGGAAAAAAGTTATAGCAAATTTGGGTAATCTTGGTTTTGAGTTAATTTAGCTTCAAGTTAGTCGGGTTTGGGCTATTTCAAGTTCAGGTTACTAACTTTTAAGGTTAAATTGGGTTGGCTTTAGATAGGTCATTCAAGTTAAGTAGATATTATCTTCCTCAATTAAGTTTATTAAGGACCAAGGTCACATTTTCACTAACTTGTGACATATCTCCAATTTTGATTTTTGATATCATAAATAGAAGGGTTTTTTTTTTTTTTAAATGATTAGATCATGTAAAAAGAAAAAAAAAGCAAATTAAAATTCATTTACTAATTTAGAGTTATTTTATATCAAATATTAACAATTTGCAACCACTAAAAGTCATTAACACTTTTTATAGACTTTAGTATTTTTTTCATTTTTATAGCATTGATTATTATTAGTTAACCACTAAGAATTAGGAGTAAAACTTACAAGTTCAACCACTTCTAACATCTACAGATCTACTTAAGGTGAAATAAAGTAACATGTTTAAATTAGTTTTATTGTTAATTATTGGTCTAGTTTATTGTTTTTAAAGTTATTTTTTATCCAAGTTATATACTTTATAATTCGGTAAAACTGAAAAATAAAAGACAAATGCGAATGAAATATTTTATGTATGATATGTAATAGTAAAATTTGAATTTAATTACTATAATAGCAAGAATTTACTTTTCTCTTTTTTAATCACAACAAGGATCTTGAAATAAATTAAATCTATATAAAAGTTAGAAATACGAGAAAAAAATATTTATTTTATTATCTTCTTAAGTAACTCATAGCCTAATAGCTAGCATTATACTTGTTATTCTCAATTAAATTCATGTCTAAAAGAGGAATGATACTCAACCTAAAATCAGGTCATTTCTAGTTGGAGTCATCTCATATTCAAGTCAAAATGGGTTCAAGTTGATTTGGTTTTGAGTCAATTCTTGGGTTGGACAGGTTTGGATTGTTGACTTTTTGTGATCAAATCTAGGACAGGTCGAGAAGGGTTTTCAAGTCAGGTCAACTTTACCAACTCTAATAGTGTACCATAACATTTTGTGTCAAATAATTCAAATAAACAAGAAAAGAAATTCCTTCCTTTTTTTCTTTTTTGTTAATAAATTTCCAAAGTTGCTTTTTTAACATTTTCATGTTACCCCTGTGAAAAGAGAATCTGTCTTCTGGAATTTGTTGCTACCAACCAAATTCTAGTCTTAGCCAAGACAAATTCAAGGTCAACTGACAAGATCTAGAGCTAGGAGGATATGGGTCCATTGCCAACCGACCCACTGTTCTAGTTGAATCTAGATCTCATCGATATGTTGTGGATTTGCCATAAAAAAAAAAAAAAAATTCCATTCTTCACCATAGAAAATTTTAATTTACTAAATGCCTGATCAAATCCAGTAGATAGGCTTTAACAAACATTCATCTCACTTGGTGTTTTACTACCTTGATTGCAAATGATTCAAAATGTAGGTGATTAATACGTACAAAATAATTGCTTAATAGACTGATTGAACCGAATACAAGCAGGACAACTTACACAAATTTGGGAAAAGAACTACATCTAAATCATGCTTTATCTCAGACACAAATCAGTAACTATTTTGAGCAAAAAGAGCCTGACAATCCCTATTAATACTTTTCTACTTTGAAGACAAATCATATGAAAGAAACATGAAAGAAATCAAAATCAAGCTTAGATGCATCCTGGTTCTCCTTCTGGTATTGAAGGAGTACTATGTAGTCTCTATAACAGTTCATAAAAATTTTAAAGTATTATAAAAAATGGATTTTGGTTCATCGTGTAAAAAGGAATGAGGAAAAATAAGAATAGGGAAAAACTTACGTCAGCCAATCAATGGGATCCAACTTTTGTGAAAGACGAGAAATCAACCCATCAACACGTTCTCTAACAACGGACTTTGTCTGAATTTGGTCCAGCTTCCTTCTGAATGATGATTTAGACTTCGGTTTTCTAGATAACTCTTCATTTACATTTAAATCACCCCCAGAAAGAACATCAGCAGCAAACCTTATGTCTAACAAGACCTGCAAAATTCCTTTCTCTGATACTTGAGCTCCACAGGCCTCTCTGGTGGAGAGAAAGTTCTCATAAATAGAAATGACCTGCATGATGAATACATAATAATAATAATAAATAAGTACCAAACACTCTTAGCCAACTGGACTATTATAGCAGATTTTTCCAAAAGAATAGAAACCACTGAGAATCTAGCAAACACAATTTAGAGTTAGTCAATATTTTTGAAAAGAAACCAGCTCACAAAGCAATAGTTCCTTGGAAAAAGAATCCACCATATAGAGCTTATCAAGATAGAAGTATAATTTCTTTATTCATTTAAAGAAATCATTTAATACTTCACGCAGAAGTAATCACCAATTAATTTTCTTTCTAATGGATGTAGACATAGAACTTGTATCCTATTTTCAAGTGAATATTTATGAAAATCACAGTTGTCAATGCTGTTTATCAAGAACATATCTTTTACAATGCACAAATTGCAGCAATTTAATAAAGCGTAATCTGAAAAGAGAGAGATCAACATCGAAGCAATCCAACTCCACAACCACACTTGCATCCCCACCCCCAAAGAGAGAGAGAGAGAGAACACAAAAAAAATGCAAACCAAAAGAGGGAAAAAAGAATGGACCTATCAGCAGTGGCACAAATGCTTTGTGCCAAAGTAAATGCATAAAGTGACACTATAATTTTCAAGAACTATAGTCATTAGTCCATTGTGCCTATATGCTCCTAAGACACTAATTTGAAATCAATTGCTTCAACCCCAATCAGCTGGAGTTTGCCAATGGCCACCAGAAACATCATATACATTGAGCCCTTCTATGCTATGATTTACTAAATCCAATATAAGCTTAACATTCTAACTGCCATTATTATTTTCTTCCTTCACTATAGCACTTTTGACCTTCAAAGGATATCTCATTTTAAGATTAGAAATTGAAAAGTGTTTTCCAATACAAGATTAACTATTTTTTACATAAAACAAGAGCAACAGAAGACCACCCTAAAACTCCTAAATCATTCTAAGTCCACGCAACTCATAAACATTAACTTCTCCTAATCAGAATACCAACTTTATGATTATAGGTATCATAATGACCATTAACATGGTCATACCTGTTGATACATAACTTCTCTAATAAGAAGCACATAATATTCAGACGGTACCTTAGTAATTAGTATCAAGGGAACCATGTTTAGCATACTTAAATTCCTCCATGGACGCATTATACACTCATAGTTATTTTGTACCGTTTATTCAAGGGAAAGAAATGACAAGGCAAATTTCAATTGAATGGACTCAGACTCAAACCCAATATTATTTGGCTCAATAATCAATGGTTTGATTCAAGTTAAAAACCTGAGAAACAACACCTCAAAGCTTGGTTTCCTTCCACGTTAACCCAAGTGAAATAAAAAAATAGGTTGCACGCCAAGTATTGCTTCTATACTAATAATAAAACCCCTGAGTTTGTGTCATGAGTCAAGCGACACCTATTCAGTTGGGAAAATAACCAAATGAAGATTAAAAAATATTATAATAAATGTGGAATAAGGGATGTTTATGTCTTTTTAATTTTTTTATGAAACATATTTTTTATTTAAAAATTTACAGAAGCTACCCACTTTTACATAAAAAAAAAAAAAACCTAGCTACAAAAATAAAAAACCCTTTTAAAAACTTCTTTCTTTGAAAAAAAGAAACACCCACCCACATTGTGGGTGTACCAAATTCTAGAATTCAAAAATGGAATAGCAAATCAGATGATCAATACCAATCTTATATTAATAAGACCAGAAAAATCCAAGAAAATAGAGACATCTAAAAGCATACTGTAAGGAGCTATGAAGAAGAAAGCTTCTCAAGGGATAACACCTATATGTTAAGAAACTATGATCTAACTATCTGCACTTCAACAATTATAATTAGAACAAATAAACTATCAATTAAGGCATGAATATATATATATATATATATATGTTTACAAGAAAAGGAACTTCAGTAATAACAACATCAAGAAAGCAATTAAAATACACACAGCATTGTTTTGGCATATAGAATATAAACAAGATAATTGCAGAGTTCCTAGAATACTCAGTGAACATGATGCAAGACAAACTTTGTACCTTTTCAATAAGGCTTAATGCAAACCTTTGCACAATTGATTTGTCAAGAACATGGCCTCCAATGCTATAAATTTCTTCACATGCTTGACATAAGAATGAGATCACATAGAGAGAAGGCATAGATGGGAGTGATATTTTCATTTCTGATGACCCCTCATCAGCTTGTTCTTGCTTAACAACTATCTCTTCCCAGCCCTGAGCAATATTTGGAAGATAAATAAAATGAATATGCTTATAAGAAACATACTTGCACTTTGGACTTAACTTGCCTATAAACAACATTCTTGCATTACACAAGCAAACCATATTCATTTGAACAGACAATAGTTTAAAAGGCATTAAATGCCAATCAAGCCTCGGTATTAGTGTTAAAAAGTTTTAAAGCCACCTGAGACAAGGCAAAGTGCAACACTTTTCACATGATTTCCCCATTGCAAGATTCTAAAATTTTATTCACCCACTATGAATATTGTAATGACTAATGAACTAATTTGTAGCATTCATTTATCATATTTGACTAGTAAGGTTATTGAAGTCATTTCATTCTAAAAAAATTTCACTACTTTCCTTTCTCTCCCCAATTTGGGGTAGTTGAAAAATGGAGCTTTTGAGGGAATCGGAGGGGTTCTCAACCCTCCTCCCTTTCCTTTCTTTTAATTTTACTAAACAAGAGGAATGGTTTTCATGTTCCCCTGCTTTCCCTTCTTTTTTCACACCTATCCTTAATCTTAAGAGCACAAATTAGTATTACACGTAGTTGTGTCAAAAACAAATGTGTGTATATATATATACATATATAATTTGTAATTGGTTGTTTACCTATTAATTAGTGAGAATTATGTAACTTCAACTTTTTAATTTGAGAAAAAATAATATAAAATAATTTTTCAACTTGTCTAAAACTAAATTCCATATTATTTTAAAAATTTTGGGAACTTTGGAGGGGGCCTAGTTCCGTCCTTGCATGGAGCAGTCTCGAAGTGCAGGAAAAGATCTTGTTATTTTTTTTCCAATGATAAAGTTTCAGCATAACCCTTAACTACCATGACAAAGAAATCCATGTTTCTGTATAACCCTTTTTTCCAAGCTACTGACATGCAAACAAACAGAAAGGAAGAGAGCGAGAGAGAGAGAAAGAGAGAATAAAGAAGTGGTCCAGCAAATGCTTACCCTTAAGGGAGTCGTTGCAGATAATCCATCATCTTGTCCAAGCTCCCGAGAGAGAATAACTGAAATCTCATCAGATAGCCATGATATCCACAAGCTGTAAGCTCTGATACACAGCTCTCGTGTAATCTTACCAAGATCGTCAAGTTTTGGGCTTGCACTTTCATTTGCTCCAAGCAATGCAGCAGCAGCAGATGAACTTTGCCTCTGGGAGCTAGTGAGTATTTGCCTTCCAAGGCTGTCAGAGAAAGGAGAACTGTTGGCAGCTCTAGACTGCCACAACAAGGAAGGTAGCTTCTCAAAAATTGCAGGAGCTGTGTATTTCACCCAGAACCGTGGAGAGCCAAGAATCAAAGGAATGTGTTTAGAGTAATTTTCGAATGCAAACAAGAGTCGCCCGATAAAAAGAGATCTCTCAACAATTATAGGAGGAGCCACAGAATCGCCTTCCTTGTATTCAATTCCAATGGCATTGTATAAAATATCAAGCTCAGTTTTGAGTTCTTTCAGTATGGTTGACACACTTTCATAACATTTATTCTGCAGATAGGGAACTAAATCCTTCAGCCTCTCAGATGCTTTGGCAGATTCTAGGAAACTCAATAGATCCTCAAGAACACTGTGGCAGCGGCTGTCCACTTCATCTCTAATTCGGCTCACTTCAGGACCAAAGTAGGCATTGAGACAACTTTGGAGATTATCTTCCTCTGGTAGTGCTCTATTTCCCAATAGCGGACCAGGCTTCTTAAAGTTATTTGGTTCTGTAAACCAAAACCCACCACCTGTAGAAGGACTAGTCATATATGTCTCAAAATCCATCTTCTCACCAGCAGTCACCACAATAGAGCGGATCACCTCTGACACATTGACAGCTCTGGTCAGATCCTCAAATCCTGAGTCAATAATCATTTTCATCCTCTTGACAAAAGCATCTTCAAATATCTCATCCCAAAGATCCGAATCACCTTCCAGAACAAGTTCTCGGATCCTATTCCAAGGCAACTCGATGTCAGACCCAAAAACAGTTTTAAGCCATTCCAAACTCCCCTGCAAAATCTCCTTGCCTTCCATTGTCTGCCTTATCAACTTCTCAGCAGTTCTAAGATCTTGGCCGCTAGGTATAGCATCAATGAGATACCTCCCATTAATCTTACTGACAATCTGTGTTCCACAATCCTTCAACCAACTCCAACATGTGCAAGAAATGAAAGTTTTATGAAGCATAACAGTTACAGATTCTAATTTATCCCTGAAAGATTTCCACAACCTGACCTCGTCATCAGGATTTGGGATCCCACCAAACAACTGAGAAGCAGGGGGAGAACCCAAAATAACCTTATAAAAGAGAGGCATATCATTCATAACATGCAAAAACAACTCTCCTACCTGCGCTATGGTAACCTGAATTATGCTTAACACATCACAAAAAGCCAAAATGGCAATGGAGGAGTTAGCATCAGCATTACCAGCAGAAGCAGTCAATGTGTGCAATATCCAAGTCTTTCTGGATTCAAGAAACAACCCCAGAACCTGCTCAGGATCCAGATCATCAATGACAGCAACGGCAGCCAAGGCATCTGCATAGGCAGCGACGGCCAGGCCCCGATCCAACAACCTCTCGCGACTCCTCTGGGAAATCTGAGCTTTGAAGCTCTCGACGATCTGCCACTGGTGCTGAAGCAGAGGGAAATTGGACAAGATGTTCTTGTGATCCAAATCACCATTGGGTAGCATCAAGTTGGAATGGACGTGCTTGGCACGGATATACCTGGCGGCCGCCTCCAAGAACATGGACTCGTCCAGACAGCCCCAGATGTTCTCCGGCGTGTCCACCAGATACTTGACGCGGCAGGCGATTCCATAGATACGGAGCCGAGTAGTAGGGTTAGGGGAGGTTTGAAGTTTTGGCGATGGTGCTTCCAAAACGGAGATGGAGAGGGAGAGGGAGCAGATGGAATGGTGGATGGAAGAGATGTTTGAGGAAATCGACTCCGATGCCGATTTCATTTGGAGGATGGAGTCAGCCGAGTCAATCAGGTCACGGTAGCGGTTGCCAACCAGCTGCCGGAGCTCCTCCTTTTTGTCTTGAATCTGTTTGTTGGTTGTTGATTCCACATTGCGGATTTCAGAAATGGGTTTGGCGCGGAACAGCGATTCTGCGTCTCGTTCATCCACAGAGCCTGAGGGAAATCTCATTCTCCTCTCTGATTGTCCTCTTTGTTTTGGATTTCTGGATGGATCTGACCCTTAAGGCTGCCTTCCTTTTCTCAACTTGCTATTTTGTTGTGAATTCAAGAGTTGAAAAACACTGTGAAAATCTTTATCAGCAAAGGACTCCTTAGATTGTATATACAAAAGCAAAACTATATTCTCTGCCTCGTGTGCTCAAATCCCAGGAGTCCAAGACGCACAAGGCAACAAGCTTTATCAGTAACTAAAACGCCACCCACTAATAACCCAATTCAAGCCAGCACCAAATTTAACACAACAGAACCAAGTTTTGTGCTACGGGACATTGGTCAGTTTTTTTAAATAATTTGGGATGAATTTTGCTCTTCGATTAATTTGATTTGAAACATATGTTTCATTTTGTGGGGCAAAAAAGTCAATCAACCAAAATATTTCATTTTTGCTTAAGATTTATATAACATTATTTTATTATTCAATTAATAAAAAATTATTTGAATTGATTAAATTAAATTAAATTAATTAATTTTTGAAATTAATAATTTTAATTTAATTAATAAAAATAAAATACTTTAATTAAAATTAATCGAACCCATCAAATAGATACCTTATGTGCTAACTATGCTTAGGGGATAATGATAATGCTATTTTCTTAAAAATACTTGACATTTTGCATTGGATTTTTAGTTAAATAAAAAGGATTTAGATTTAAAAAAAAAAAAAAAAACCATGAACATGCAACATCATAACACAATTATAGCTGCTGCACAGTGCCAACATGTAAATTTTAATTCTCAAATCTCAATCAAAATAAATATTATCCGTGTTATTTTATTTTCAACATGTTAAGTATGCATGCGATGATGACGCTTCCCAAAGAATCCCAACATATAAACTTAGAAATCACATATACAAGTACACAGATCCGCGTTTCATTTCTGCATCTGTATAATTTTATATTAAATAAATAATTATCAAATATTGATGTGACCAATTAAAATTAGTATGTAATATTTATATAATGATTGTTATGAAATATTAAAGAGATTAATAGAAATTAAAACTACATATATTGCTATTCTCAAAGTACTCAAATTACCTATTTAGATTTTCACAAACCCATATATATTCCGAAAATATCGGTTAAAGAAAATAAGGCTTCTTGTGTCTAACTTTTATTTTAGTTATAATAATATTATACAAAGATATTAATTATTAAACTAAGTATATATCTATAGCCAACAATAATAATAATAAATTAAATTTTATATCTCATAATTATAAAATTAATTATACGAAAATATAAAAAATATATAGAAATTGCCTATTTACATTTTCAAAAACTCACATACAATCACAAAGACGCTTGTCAAAGAATCTTTGTATCTAGCTTTTATGCATAGGATAGAAGATATATTTAATACTAAATCACTTTTTAGTGCTGGTGCGAGTGCTGTTTTTTTAATACATTGATTTAATTCATAGGTGTATAAGAGATTTTCTTAACATTATAGATAAGACGCTAAAACTTGTGAGGTAAGAATCTAAAAGTTTTATAAGATTTTCTTTAGATATGAATCTAAACTCAGATTGAATTTAATATAAGATTATTTATACTACTTATTCATAGATGTGCATCTAAACTTAAAATTTATAAAACTCAAAACATGAAATACATTCAATACTATAGATATATGAATATCAAAGTTCATGAATAATCTAAATACATTCATCTATAATTAATTGGATTCATGGATCCCATAGATTTATGAATGATTAAGTTAATGAATAATTAAGTTCATACAATTTAAATTTCATTCATGTTATTTATACTATTTAATCATAATAAACATGATTCTAGATTAAATTTAAATGACACAAAATACGAAGACAAAATTCCAAATATATAATAAAATAATATTGTTAAGTAAGAACAAAATGATAAAATAAATAAAAATATTTACTCATTCAAATTAAATCTTTCTAATTTGCATTATATTTCTTTACAGCAATATGTGTATACTTGAAAATTTATATTAAATAATGATATATGTATATTTAAAAAATTTGTTAATTCATTTTATGAAAACTTACACACAACTTATGAAATATTATTCATTTTGATTTAAAAATCTCACAATTTTATCTCACAAAAGATGTCTCATAAGTATTTAATTTAAATCTCTACTTATATAATACGGTAGATTTTCAAAGCATTTCAATATATAATTGACGTATCATAAACTTCTTCATTAAAGCTTGATGTAAACACAAAACACATACAAAATCTTGATTACACTAAATATTAGGATTTTAGAGATGGCTCACACGATATAATACTTAGTTCCCATTTGACTAGTGATAGTTTTGATACCATTTGTAAAAACCCATATCCAACCCATGAGATTTTGTCTGATTTGATATGAATATTTTACAGTTTTGTCTTACAAAAAGATACCACATAAGTATTTTGTTTAAATCTTTACTTATATATTATAGCAGATCTTAAGAATATTCTAATGTAAGATTAATGTATCACATATATATTAAAATAATATTAATAATAACTTGTTAAGTGTACACATTTTTTTTTGAAAAGTTTCGGTAGTATCTTGATTTTGAACATTTGTTGGGCTTATCAAATATTTATAGTCATTTGGTGTTATTGGTTTAGCATTTAATACAAAGTGGTATACTTGCAAACAATTAAGTTAAAATAAAAAAATTAGATAATGATATTAGATTTTAAATAAACATTGTCTAAAAGTGTTACGCTTACTGTAAGTGTATGAGCTGTACAAATAATAAAGTAGAAAAATTAACCCCAAGTATCATTTTTCAAGTATTACGGTGGTATCGAATACTAAGTACTAAAATTGGGCACATTAGATATAGTTAAATTTAACAAAAATTAAAAAGATTGAAATTAAAGAGCTTGAAATAAAAAAATTAATAACTCAATATAAACATTTAAAGATCATAATAATAAAATGTGCAAAATTAAATAGCAATGCAAAATTAAATTGCATAAATTTAAACAACATGAGAAGTAAAGATCATGAAATTAAATTGTAAGAAAATGCAAGGAGCATAAAAATTAAAGAGCAAAAAATTTAAAGGTTTGAAAATTAAAAGATAAAGAACTTAAATAACATGAAAATTAAAGTATTTGAAAAATAAATTGCAAGAGAATTTAAATTGTAAGAAAATAAAGAACATGAAACTAAAAATGAGCTTAACCGAGATTAAAAAAAGCATGAACAAAGTTAAAGTCAACTATATGTACAAGAACAAAGGCTAATCAACATGAAACTAAAAGCAATTGAACTTGAAATTTAAAGGAAACTTAAATGAACATTAGACTTAAAGAACATGTAATTTAAATTGTAGACACCTAATTTTATCTGAATCAATTGTTCAGTTTGAAACTTATTGATTCTTATTTTAATTACTCAATTATTCATGTCTAACTAAGTCTAATTTAGAGTTTGAGTCATTTGGGTTTGGAATAATGAAGTCTTAGGTTTATTAATGTCCATTAGAAATTAGGTTGTTTTAATTATTATTTTATTTTATATGTTTCTTTATAAATAAAAAAAAATCAACACAGAAGGCTGGATAATTGAAGTCAAGCTGCCAACCATTTGCAACTGCCAAACTTTGCAACAAAGATCTATGGATAAAAAATCATCTTCAATCCAAAAAAATATAGGATTTCAACCCCTAATAGGCTCTATAATTAGAGCCTGAAAATGCATTGTAAAAAAGAGGAATTTTTTGACTGAAAAACCACACCACCATCCCTATACCCAAATCCCTTTACCCCAAAAAACCACCATTGCCAAACCAAAACTCACCAAATTTACCAACACCAAAACCTTCATTATCACGTGCAAAAAAAAAAACCTAAAAATCTACCCAACCCTACAACCCAACATCAAACAACAAGCTTGAAAATCTTTTTTTTTTAACAAAAAATAAATAACTATAAAAAAAATCCTACAAATCACATCCCCAAAAGAAACTAGCAAAAAAATTAAAAAAAAAAAGAAAAAAGCTAATAGTATTTGAAATAGTGAAGAAATGGAGTTTTTAGGTTTGAGCCAAAAGCTTTGGGAATATATTTAAGCCATTTTGGATTTTATTTAGGAAAACTGGTTGTAACATTATGTTAAGGATGATGAAAGGATCATATTAAGATTTTTAAGAATTTTTTTTTTTGATCACTGAAATTTAAGAAGTTTAAATTTTTCGACGATCAGTTGAATTTTTCGACATCAAAATTTGGGTTTAAAGGGGTTTTTTAGGTTTTGTTGATTTCTCAAGCAACTAGTTGAATTTCCCAACTATCAAAAAATGAAAAAATGCCATAGAATTCTAGAAAATTTGCTAGATTCCAACACTAATTGAATTTTTCTCCCAACTAGAGAAAACATAAAAAAAAGATATGAAAGGAAGGGAGAGGGAAAAGAGAAAAAATAAATAAAAAATCAAATTTAAGCTACTTATAGCAAGAAGAAACAATGTCATTTTGAACCTAGGGGATCCACACATTAACTCAAATGTGACCTAGGATCCATACGTCCCGACCCAACTAGAGGCTTGTAAATTACCAAAGCTGAGTCGATCTTCATGCCGAGTTGAGCCGCTTTAAGCAATCCTATCTCTCAAACCGTCAATTTGAGTCACTAATCGAGCCAAGTCATTTTTGACCAGTGTTGACCAAGGGTGTTTGCAGTATTTTTTTTCATATATTTTATTTTTTATATTTTTGTATTTTTATTATTTTTATTCATTTTTTATTATTTATTTTATTTTTGTATGAACTTTGTTATAGCATTAAAAATATTTTTAAATTTGTGTGGAAAATAAAATATTTTTTGTTTGAAGTTCATTTAAAATAAATGAAAAAAAATTTAAGAAAAAGTTAAAATATCAAATTTTCCTAAGTTCTTTGAAATAAAAATAAATTAAATTAAATTTTGAAAAATGCTAAGGAAAAAGTTGAAATATCAATTTTTATTTAGAATAAATTTTGAAAATATTTAGGAAAAAGTTGGAATATCAATTTTTCCTAAGTTCTTTTAAATAAAAATCAAATAAAATAAAATTTGAAAAATGCTAAAGAAAAAGTTGAAATATCAATTTTTCATAAAACTAAAAAAATAAAAATTTTTGTTTTGAATCATCTAACAATGACATTGCTAAGAAATTGCTATTGCAATTTCGATATAATTGCCTAAGTGAGGTAATATTTTCAGTATGCTACTAAAATATTAAAGTATTTAGGAAGTTTTCTAAAATCAAATAATCTAATAAAAATGTTTTTTATTTTGCTGATGGAATCTCTTTAA